GGCGTTAACAGCACGCGGTCTCGGACAATGGTAACTTTCCTGCGCGCACGACTTAATGGACGCTGGACGTCGACAATATTCCTCTATCCATATCCTCGGACGCGATTTCGAAACGCACTCATTGTTTGCGCTAGTACCACCAGTACGTAACGATGCAAATATATACCTAGTATGCAAAAGTTGCATTTTATGCAATCGTAATTTTCTTTTAATTAGAAACATTAAACCAGCACAATTAAAAAAAAACGCGCTAACATTTCCGTACAATACGGAATATATCGGCAATATAATTAGCTGCATACGGACGAAAATAGCGCATGGCATGTGTGATGGTGGCGCTGCGATCGCTTTAATAATGTTTGATTAAATGCGCGCGGTGTGCACGCGCCCCGCGTGATTATGTCCATCTATTTAAAGTTTCCGTCCAATCAGGGAAATTGTTTAATTTCCGGCGCGTTCACATGAGTCGAACATTCGCCGCACGACAGCTCCCGTTCCAAACCTGAAAGTTTAGACACTTTCGTGTCGCGTGATCGCGTATGCAACCATGTATTCATGTATTCAAAACATCACACTACCCTCACATCACACTATCGACTGGGTGTAGGTAGACGACACGAATGTGTACAGTGCTATTATATGTTCATACACTGCAATTCTGAAAACTTAACTTAGAAATTTTTTAAAATTTAAATTATTTGTTGTATAATAATATAATTCTCACGTTTTTGCTCGCAAAAATAATTGCTCTATTCGAATACGGTTTGAATTTGAACACGGGTTTGAGGTTGGGAGGCAGAATCTTTAATTGGTTTGCAACCGCACAAGCTGTCACTCTGTCGTCGCTGCGAGCGTAATTTTGCACAACTGTCTGACATCTTAAGCTCAATTCACCAGACGACAGCGATAGGTTGGTAGGTGTATCTCGCCTCAAAAATCACCCAACAACTAATTTTCTACAATTCAATAATTAGATTGCAAATGCGTGGTTCAAATTTAAAGAGTGAAAATTTAACCGTATAGTTTCGGTACAGTTATGTTAATGCGGCTGACGCAGAAGAGATGTGGGTGAGGATCGAAGGAATCAGGTCCACCTTGGTCGGCGATCATTAAACTGTCTTGTCCGTCTGATGGCTCAAGCCCAAGCTGGGGAATCCGCTGCAGGGAACGCACGCATATTGCTCTTTCTCTTCACACACACACACAGAAACAGACACATATTGTATCCGATTCGATTGCAGCACAGCGCATTGTTTTAAATCATCATGTTTAGAAATTATATCTACAAAGTGGTCCAAATTTAATTTCGTTGAAAATTAGCGTAGAATTTGTTTGATTTTGTTGTCACTCTGTGTGTTCGACGATGGTATTAATCAATTTCTAAATGTACTTATAAAAGACTTGTTAGGAGAACGCAAGCTGCAAACGCAGGCACGTAAACGACGTCCGTTACATCAGTACATGCGGAGCACATGGAGCGCTCAGGCCCTAAGGGCGACCGGATTGCTAAATGTTATTTCTCTTACAATGGCCACGCCGCAATTATTTTTTCACGCTGCATTGTTCGCTTGTTTTAACAATATAATATTAATTCGATCAAAACAGGATCGCATTTGTATAAATCTTGCTTAAAAATAACAAAATACCGGTTTTTTGTGGGATTTTAGAGAAATTTAAAAAATACCGGTATTATACCGGTATATTAGTATCGGTATTCCGGTATTAATATAACATATTAGTAAAATGATTAAAATATTGCTTTTTCATGTGACTTTTAAGGAGATTTAAAAAATACCGGTATTATGCCGGTATATAATTGATTAAAATACCGGTATTTTTTAAAATTCAATAAAAATTCTATTAAATATCAAAATTTTAAAAATTTAAAACTAAAACTAAACTAACACTATCCTACTCTAATCAAATTAATGTTATTTACTTCTAATACCGGTATTATACCGGTATCCGGTACATAATTTATAAAAACACCGGTATTTTTTTATTTGGTTATTTGTGGGCGCGTTGTATTTGCAAAAAAATTTTTACAGAGTAAATCACGCTTTTCTCGCATATCTGCTGATGGTTTTCTAATGTAAGCTCGAAACCACACGATGACCTACAAAATTGCGTGCGGCTGCGTGTTGGCCCGATGTAAAGTGCACTCGTCTCATGGCGCACCGGTAATCACAATGCAAATTGTATTTTAATGCCAGCATATAATATCGACAGGCAATAACAATAACAAACGCAATTTTACTATCTCGCATTGCTCAATATCAGAATCAATATGATCGGTGATTCGGTGAGAAAAACCAATGTTTGCCCGACGAAGGCGACATCGTGGAATTCATTACATGCTAATAAAACAAACTGGTTATTATGATCGTTAATTAGCTAATAAAATGCATGCAGATTAGAGTCAGCTGTAAATTCGGTAGTGTTTGATCTAGTCGTGTTGTTGGATCTGTGTGTTATCATCATGTCACCGTCGAATGCAAAAGGTTAGCAAAAATAATATCGCCATATTACACAAATCCGTCTCTCTGTGATAACACCACTGAGAGCTTTGTTCACTGTCATTATCAACACGACTAGTTGAAATTAATATTCAACATTATCAAGTGGCAATAACTAGGCGATTACTAATACTGTGTGTTAACTGACAATCCGGCGATAAGAATATTATTGATTTTGTTTGGTCACAGTTAGTTTTTGGTGTTTTCTTTTTTTTTTGTTTCTTCTTTTGTCGTTGGGGAGATAATTAAAGTCACGTCAATTGTCGTGACGTTTAGCGACCCGGAACGTTTGCGAGCGCCGTTAATCCGATGGCACTCTGACCACATGAGTTTTCTAGTCGAGCGGATTGACGCGATCATTAAACGGGAAAAAATCCGCATCGCCCGATCGCCCGCTTCCTTTTCGCCGTTCGACTTTCTTTCCGTTTGCTTCTTCTCCCTGCCTCGTGACCCGCTTTTTGCATTCCGCCGCTCGAACTTTGTGCGCGCCGGGCATTCCCTATTGTGCAATCGATTTTCATGCTGGATGTGTGCTCCATCAGGGGTGGGCAAACTGTCAAAAATTCTTATTTCAACAGAAAATATTATTTATTTCATAAAAAATACCAAAAACATATTTTTTTCCTTAAAAATACCGGTATTACACAACTACAAAAACCGATATTTTTTAAAAAGTGCCATATCTGCTTCTGAATGGGATTTTTTTAGAAATAAAAAAAAATACCGGTAGTACACAGGTAATATTAGTATCGGAATACCGGTATTAATATTATATTATAGTAATACGATCAAAAACTGTCTTTTAATGTGATTTTCATAGAAGTTTAAAAAATACCGGTAATATACCGGTATTGCGTCTTTCCAAATACCGGTATTTTTTATAAAAATGCCATATTTGCTTCTTACTTTGATTTCTTCAGAAATTCATAAAAAATACCGGTAATATACCGGTATTACGTCTTTATAAATACCGATATTTTTAAAAAAGTGCCATATCTTATCAAATAACAAATATTTTTCAAAAATAGTTTTAGATTTAACAAAATACTAAAAACCTATTCAATTATTGCCTGATTTGAATGTTGGTTGAGGTTTTGCAAACCCTTGAGTTACACTTTATAGCGCAGTTATTTGGTTATGTTGTTTGTGTTCGCATTTCAATACCGATTTGAATGACCGATTAGAATTGTACCCGGGCACGATGAACACGACTCTCGTACCGGTGCTCGACAAAACACAAAACACTAAACACAACACACAGCGCTGCTCTGTGTCTGCTGTTCGGTAACGCGGCCCAATGCGCGCAATGTGGCTGAGAATTTCTTTTTTCGAAAGCAATTAAATTACAATGAAATGTTAATTTAGTCAATGCGCGCGCGATGGGCGATACTGCGTGCGGACTCGATTTTACTGCGCGCATTATTTTATTGACCATTATTATTCGTATTCGACGATTATCTACTCGGTTTTATTTTCTATTACATTACAAAGTGGAAGACGAAAAAAAAGCACAACCAGCGTGCGCTTGCGTAATCGTCGTGATTTAATTTCGGTTTCGTAAACGGTCGAAAACGAAATAAAACGAATCGTTTGATCGACGACGATGTGTCTTCCATTTAGATCAATTCGGTGTTTGCACATCTTTTACTTACATCATGGAAATTCTCGAAAAATCATTTAGTTTTATGTTTTTTTTCGCGTTGTAAGAGTAAGGTTTATTGAATCGTTGGGCGCGCAGGTCGTGCGCAACAAAAGCAACAATGCAATACTAACATCGAAGGTGATGAATATCTATAACAGAGCAGCGGTAATGTAAGTGAAAGCCACCGTCGTTCAGGTGCACCTTGCCAACGTAAATGAAGCGCTTAATCGCGTTTTGCAATTGACCCATTCGAACTTCTTCAACTTACGTGTATTCAACTCCACACAATTATTTTTTTTTTAATTTTTGTTTTTGAATTTATGCCCAACCTTCTCGCACAGAGATCACGTTACTAAAAGGGACATTAAGGAAGATTAAACGTATCAGAATCACGCGAATAAAATGTCAGCATTCCCACTCGCAGCAATAAATGCGTTCCTGGTCGTAAAATCGCCAAATGTCACACGACACAACACACGAGAATAACCAACAAGTAAAACGAGACCTAGCTTTATAGTGCTCGTCGTCGTTTAGGTTTACATTATTGCGGTGGCGCTATATTTAGACAAATGTACAGTTCACGCTGTGACTACTATACTAAACTATTGATAGGTATTCGAATATTGTGAGTTTTGCACAAAAAGTACCCTGATGATATTGTCGCCCACCACTCAGGTTTTTATTGCGCCGCCTTCCGGCATATACCGTGTCACTGTTTGTCGGCGTGCGGGCGCGGGCGGACGCAGCCAGCAGAGACAGCAACGGTGCGCGACAGCAGGACGCAGCAGCGCGACACACGCGGGACAATCGCGCGTGTGCGCGCCGCTCTCTGTGTCAGTGGTAGTCCGCCTGCCGCGCCAACAACATCGAGAGTCCTGCGACACGCTCGCTCGAGTCGCGCGCTTCGCAGTTGTCACTGGTTGTCGCGTCGCGCGCGCGCATTATACTCGCATACGAGACGCACGCATACAGGATGACGCGTTCGCTACGAACATAACCTCTACTCAACGCTATACAGACTACGGATATCAGCTAAATATGTGTTTTTGTGTTTGTGTGTGTTATTAAACACGTGGTTTTTGGATATCTAAATGAAATTTTTGTTTTTTATTGTTTATCTTCATTATAAAGGTGTGTATTGCTATGGTAATAGTGTTCGGTACTTGTACCGCAACTCAAAGTATTGGGAAAGTTATAAAATGTAACTTTTCTGAATTTTTCTGAGTTGTGAGATGATTGAGTAATCTCCAACATGACTAATGCGTTCCTATTAACTTCCAGGACAGATGCATCGTGATCGTGAAATGTCTACAGCCAGCTACAGCTACGCGCCAGCATCTTCCTGAGATCGATCACGCATATCATGGGAATTATCGGTGAGCTTATTGTTTAGCAAATGAAAATGTATCTGCAAATAATTTTGACGTGTGAGGTAAAACTTGTGTTTCGTGGGATTTCGTTCAGAAACAAGTCAAAGTTTCATACATAGGGGTTGAAGTTGTCTGTCTGTGTGTGTGTGTGAGATTTTTTGGGATGTTGAGTCGCGCGCAGCGTCGCGACGCATAAAACGACGACGACCAACCAAACGCGACCCGGACTGCAGAGTTGTCGCGTGTCACCGCGTCGCGCGCATTGGGCGACAGCGACGGCCAATCGGGCAGGTGGGAGCGGCTGTCGAGATGTCACCGCATGTGCGAGCTTAAACCGGTGGGGATGTCACCACCAGCCGGCTGGCTGGGCGGACCGCAGGCCGTCACCTGCACACCCACTCTTTCCAACACACCTGGCGGGGAGGGGGCCTTTAACTCAGACTACCTGTTCACTATTCCCATTTAAATTTAAATCGAAATTATGATAATCGACAAGCGTTACAACAAAAAACCGCAGGGGGTTGTTTTTACTCTTGAAATTCTAACGTGAAAATGATTAATAAAGAATTTAAATTTAATATTAAAAAATCTCACGTTGGATGAGCAGCAACAGCGGGGGCGGTTGGAGTAAGAGTGTGTCGAGGGATGCAGCAGGGTACGGGGTGGTTTTGCGCGCTACCGATCGAAACTTGCGAAGGTAACGCTCGCTTTGAACCTGTGTGTGTTGTGTGTATGTGTGAGGTTAGACGACGGCGGCGACGCGCGCGACGTTGGCCGGGCGTCGCTGGCAAGCTCGGCGCGCGCGGTGGGGGGCGGTGTATGTTGGAGGCAGCAGCGCGGCGGCAGCGCACTTTGATCGCGCATGAGGCGGAGTCCGCCGGAATTGTCACTGCGGGAACGACTGTCACTTGTCCCCATGGCTGCGCAGGCGCGCCGCCGCCTGGACCATAGGCCGTCGCGACGCTGTGACACGCCCGGCGTCCGCACGACCCTTGACCCCTTGTCCACACGGCCGCCGCCGCTGGCGTCCTAGTATACGCGACGATCTGACCGCCGCCGGACACTTCCAGAATCCCAGCGCATCGCGTCACCATAAAAATATGATTAATATCAATATCAACTAACGTGCACACATATTACTAAAATAATTATTTAATATTAAATAACTAAATGCAGTTTTTCTCGCCTGGTAATTTTATCAAGAATGGTGAGGCGGTTGGAATTTAATTTTGAAAAAAAAGTGATAATGTGATAAGTGATTTGTTTTGGTTTGTGTGTTCGCAGGTGAGGGTGGCAGTCGCAGCCCCGTCATTCCGAGCAAGGACCGCCCGTCATCGACCGACATGCAAGCGGCGGCGGCTCTCCCGCCCCCAGACGCCCGGCATTATGCAACTGCGAGCAACTCGATCGGATTAATGGAGGTGGTAAGTTTGTCTAACGCCTTAAACTTAAACAAAGCGCACGGAATAAGATCTACAGCCTATATTCTATTGATTTTTGGACGTTATGATTTTTGATACGTGGTTATTCCCACGGTAGAAGAAGAAGAAGACGAAGAAGAAGAGCAACTCCAACTCCCCACCAATGCATCACTGGAGTTGCTCTTTATTTTTCTATTTTTTCTTTTAATTCGCTCCCACTATCTTCTCGCTTGGCTCATATGCATCGGTTTGTGCAATTATTTCCTTTTACCTGCATGTAGCTAATACACTGCGCGCACTAATTCCACATACTATATGTACGCTGTGACTATTCTCGGTGCGGGTGCGTTCGAGTGCGTCAAATGAGCGAGAATTAATAACACAGAGCGTCGCGGTGAGAAGACGCCGGAGCGTGTCGGTCCGCACACGGCGCGCTGGTTCGTCCACATCGGTGGATGGTGGGGGGGGCGGCAGCCCGGCGGTCGGTTAGTGCGGCGCGTTACCACTTCGGCGGGTGCAACATCGCGCGTTCGCACCGCGCGCGCACATGAATCAATCATTTGAATAACGAACATGTGTTTCGGTAACCTCTGCCGCTAGAAAATCATCAGTATCTCAATATTCGCGTATTTCGAGCATTCAAACGCGCGATAATGTAATGTAAATCAATTGTGTGATGTTCAGTGTGATGAAAAGACTCAAGTGTGAAATAAATTTTACGATGCGTTGTAAACACGATCAGAATGGATAATCATCGTGGAGTGTCAGTGTCACAGAGTTGTCGCGGTTGTGTTGCTGCCCCCCGATGCTTCTGATGCCTAACACTAGTGGTAGTTCAACGCGCGGCGGTCCAGCTGCGCGGCCATACGGCTCGATGGCTGCGTTGGACGCGCATCTTTTTCCGCCGGCGGCCGCGATGCTCGCAGGATTACAGCCGCCGCTGCGGCCTCCAGTCAACGTAAGCACTCTGTGCGTTTGGTGTGTGTGTGTGGCTGTGTGTCATTTGGTGTATGTGGGTGTGTGTTTGTTGCGTGCAAGGTACCGACGTGATTAAACGCCGTAACTAAACGATGGAAAATGCACTATTATGCCATGCGGACAGCCGTTTGGCATCTAGTTAACTCCGTGACTAACGCACATATCAAGATTTCGCGCCGTGCGCGCTTTCTCACTTACTATCGCAATTAAACTGCGACACGCAGATGATATCGCGTTAATGACCAATTTTACAAACAGGGGTTGGTGTAATCTACATTTACACGTTAGGTGCGAATGAAAAACTTTAAAAAATCCAACGTTTTTCGATTGAAGAAAAAAATAAATAAATTGTTTTTCGTTGAGGCGATTTTTTGATGATTTTGTAGCGTGTCGTGCCGCGTGCCTCGAATATATCTTCAAGTGTATAATATTTATTTCCTCTTATCCGCCCTGAGTCGTTGTCGTGTCTAGCAATCGAATAACGTAATAGCTCTCTAGCCTGATATCGGCATTGTGTGCGCTGGCACACGCAATTGCCATCAATTTCGAGCCGGCGCGCAATCATCGCATGTCGATTTCTTCGAATTATTTTAAAAATTGGAATCGTTCGCTTGTCAACACACACCGCAACGCCGTCACCGTATGGCGTTCACGCCGTCACGAACGCCGAAGAAATGTAGTGTTTAGTAAAATACACCAAACAACTACTAATTGTTCATCAAACATGTGTCGTAAGCAATTTTTTACGTTTTCGGTTGTTGCTTACAAAACTTTGTGGTTTTTGTAATAAATTTCAACGTCGTGTGCCCCGTATGTCAAAAAGCAATTATACGGACTAATTTAAAGAACTTGCGTTGTATTTAAGTGTGTGTTATTGTGGTACCTGTTGCCATGCGCGTCGAAATTAAATTTTCCGTAAATTTGTTGTTTGCATTGGCTGTGTTATTACGCATTACACATTATTTTGACTCCCCAAAAAGAAAGGCCTCGCAGTTATTAACTTAATAACACGCTCTCTTAGGCCTCTAGAGGGGACCGGTTGGCACGTGTCAATTGTTTGCTCATCGGCGTGTTACGATTACGTCGTGAGCATTTTTTTGTCCGTCGTAATTTCGCGCAATTAACCCGAAGAAAGCGCCAATCGCCAAATTACCAACGCGCGCGCAAAGGAAATAAATAATAAATAAATAAACACCACACTTTATTTTTATTCGAAAGGCTTCATTAACTTCATTAAAACGAAATTATTTCCATATGTCAATTTATTACTGTTAGAGTTCAACTGAATTTTTTTGACTACCCAGACGTATCCTATCAGCGAATGTGTCAATGCGAAATTAATCATAGATAAAAGTTGCTCGGCTAGCATAATACGCATGTGTCCTTGTTGTTTGCCTGTGTATAATCATTTAAATTAAATTTATGTGATTTTATTAAATCATAGTTTTTAATTCTTTTTTTCGATTCTGTCAAGAACATATGTTATTCGGTTAAATTGGACGCTCGAATAGAAATTATTTATCATTTTATTTAAAGATAAATCACATAATGTATGTTATTATTCATTTGACAATTTTAACTTGAATATTTGAAGCTTTTTTCTTCATCTAATGACCATAAAGAAGAGTTTTAAAAATTTTGAATGCGTTTAAAGGTCACAGGAGGCAAAAACTCTAAATAACAGCATAAGGCGAATAGGAAAACGAAAAACCAACAACATTATGTATATTCAACCGCTACACAATTTAAATACAATGATTTTTAACGAGTAAATAATAAGGGTGTGTAAATGTGTTGATAGCTGATCGTTTTTCTCTGAAGATGTGAGTGTGATATACATATCAATATCCATATCAACGATTATGCGCCCATAAACACCGCAGACGTCCATTGTGTGCACTATCAAGTGGCTACCTGAGCCGAAAATGCGTTTATAATAATACCCGCTGCATGTTCGTGACAAATGTGGGCGAGAGCACAACCGGCCTGCATTGATTTGCATACAAATGCATTCTACACACACATCCACGCCGAAAACATGACAGTTTGTTACAAAAACAAATCGATAACGCAACGATAAGTCAACTGAAGTTGACGATGACCTGAATCTGAAATTATTATTATTATTAATCATTTTGACCTTGCTGAGGAAAAATTCTTATCAGTTCTATGAATTATTAGTGCGCTTATAATATTTATAAATATAGCAACCTAATTACGAGAAGGGGTAATTGAAGGGGTAGTTTTAGTGCATGCGGGTAATAAGTAGGAGGCGGTTGTTAAAATGGGTGCCCCCTGTGCGTGTGACGGCATATGCGAAAACGAAAGGGTTAAATAAATACACAGAGGGTTGGTCTGTCCGTTCGACCAAGCCCTACTTTCCGAAAAGGGGTGCATGCAACAATGTAAGGCGAAAAGGTGCACAGTTTGCACCTTTTACATTTTTCACCCTTTCTGTTTTTTCCTCCACTACCCTCTTCATTTTTTAAGTTGGCGCATTCTTTGCTCGATAATGGACGAAAATTGTTTACAGTCGAGTCCCCGAGTTAAGGGTCTTCCAGGGGTGGTAAATTAGGACGAATATCTCCCAACACATGCACGTTATTATATTATGTATATACGTCGCATCGTTTGCCAGTTGTTTAACTCAATTATTGATCAAATATGGCGCGGGGGGTGTGTTAACCCTTTCGCGTGGCGGGAGCGTCGGGAGCGTCGAGGATCGGACGAAGGGACTCGGTAATGATGTACATACAATTTATGTACACAGCGAGCGCGCGCGGCCCTTGATATTATGAGGTCCTTAACATACCAGCCTATTATTACCCCTTTTGCGTTCGCTCTGCTTTGCTAAACTTATCATTTCGATTGGGTATTGAGCGTGCAGTGGAATACTTAAAATTCTCAACCGAAAAAATCCGTTGCGCGATCGCACAAAAGCACGATCGGCTTTTTCATTTCATTCTCCTTCGGATCTTATTGTGATGAGGATTTTTTTCTGGTTTAATTGATTCGGAAATATTTTACAATGCAATTTATTTTCATGAATAGATAATATTTTTGATTTCATCATACGAGATATTTTTATTGTCCAATTAAATATTAACATAACTTTAATATTTTATTTCAACGCCGAAATCAATTCGTAATTACACTCTGTTAACGCGTTATTAATTATTCCGTATTTTGGGGTTGTAGTGGAGGTACAAATAGGAAATTTGTCATCTTGTAGTTTTGATGTTTAATTATTTAACGTGTAATGTGGTTTGTGATGTTGATGGACTAATCGAAAATTCAGCCACGCCTATAGGACGAGTGGTAGAAAAAAAATTATGCGGCGGTATCCTTGCTTTTGCCGCTTGTTAATGCACCTTTTTAAAAGGCTGATATGAATCTACGCGCGGCGTGACTTTGATTTGAATTGACGGATTGTCATATGTGACCCGCCTTGACATCCGTTTGCTTGGAATTAATTTACATACCGGGGCAAATGGACTTTGATGAGGAAATCAATTTTTAATGGATAATGGCCGATTGTTTCGGATTTTTCGAATTAAAAAAATATTTTTTGTGATTTTAAAAATTTTTTGTTGAAAATTATTTACCTAGGTTTATCTGAGCTGCGTCCAAATATTTTTTACTTATTGTGTAATACAGTGGCGTTTAAACTAAAATAAAATGTCTGAAAAAAAAACGTCGCATGTTTGTTTAGTGCGTTAGCAAGGCGGCTCTTGAAACGTTTCAGTTGACGCGTCTCTTTGCACAAAAATTTATCGCATGTCGCATACGCACACATCGCGTCCTTTTAGCACCGCGGCGATTATTTGTCGACGAAATTATCGGCGGCTACCAGCCGCGTGCGTTTGAGTCGTGCCGCCGTTGAACATTAGCCATCAAGCACTAGCAACAAACGCAAACACACACATCAAAACGGCTTCGAATTAGGCGCATTCAAGGAAATAAAAGCATCACACACACACGCATATGCGCGCTGACACCGAAAAAATGCGGAAAAATCATCTCACGACCAAACGAAGGAGATGAAAGCGAGACAATGCACAATAAGTTTAGAACGCGCCAGCGGTTCACACGCACTACTGTTACACGTTCGAGATATTGTTCGTAATCAGTTTATGGTCGCATCAGGCAGGCAGGCATTTCAATATCGTCGTATGCTCATCGTTTACCACAAGAATGAGAGGATTTTTAATTGTGTACGTGTCGTAAATCACAATGTGTATCGTCAGCCGTCATTAAAAAAAATATATGAACAGACGCGCATCGCATTTTTATCTTTTAAAGCAAAATATGTTTTCGCAGAGCCTATTATTTCGTTAGGTTAGAAATTTTGAAAGTACAAGAAGCGAAAGGGGAAGTAATTTAAAATATTCTATGGAATAACATGCACTGCGGTCCGAGTCGGCGCGCTTGTTAATAAACTTTATCCGCTGGGTTAATTTTCGATATTAATATTTGGACTCCGACTCATCATCAAGTTTATCCAAATTCGTCCGAATTTGAAGACCTTGTTTTTGCATGCCTGGCGGGCCTGTTTGGTCAGGCTACCCTTCGACATCCGAAGCTGCTGTGGGTAGGGTGGTTTTAAGAGTTCGGGTTCTGTCAGATGTGTAACCCCTTTTCACATACTAGGTGGAAGCCAGTCGGGGGGGGGGCATATAAAATGCAAACCGTGAAATCCAATCTAGCTGAGAGCAGCTATTTGTTTTTAAAGCGCGCGACGCCGAATCGAAAACGTCTACGGTTGCGCATAGATCACCATTCGTTTCTTTTTCGCCTGCTTTCTTATTAAATTTATACAAGTTGCACGCGGCGCGCACTTTGGCAAATGAAAAGCAGTCGAATGATAATGGTTATTGATTCCAATTCCTCTGCAAACGAGAAAAAAAAAACGGTTTTAGCTTTCGAGTCACTCGAGTCATACGACGACAAGTTTAGGTTTAGCATGTGATGACACGTTCCATTACACACCTATTTTTGTCATCTAAAAGGTTTCTGCTGCTGCTGGTGTGTCAAAATTGTATTTTTTTTACAGTGGGCTTCAGTGGCGTCGTGGTTTTTTCGTCCGGAGTGTTCTAACCTGCTGACAACGATGGCGGGAGCTGACCCTAACTTTGTGACAGCTTCAGCCAGACCCACAACGACCTCAGCTCCCATGTCGACGCCGTCGATAGCTCCGCCAACGACCACCTCACCATCTTCGAATACCACCACAACATCGCCGAGTACGTCGTCCACTTCAATGGGCAAGTCTTCGCTGCACTATCGAGACCCACCAACAAGGGAACGCGTCTTCCAAGCCCCGACAATTTGCACGGTAAGCCATTTTAATACCTAAATATTAGGTATAAGACTCGTCACTCGTATCAATGTGTCACAGTGAGACCGTTGAAGTGTTTTTTAAGTGGGTTCACGTTTGATATGTCGTGTTGGATTACATGGGTCGCGTGCGGCCTGGGTGACACATAAAGGACATGGCATTTGAAGAAAGGAAATTGCTGGTTGTCGCACACTCGCACGCACGAGCGACAAACCCGCCGGGACAACAATGGCGGCTAATGGAATTCTTTATATCCAATATGCCCGGCGCTGATCAATTTATAAATAAATAAATAAATGAATCCGCGCCGACTGGTCTAGTCGAGTAGAGTAGTAGATGTAGAGAAATCGATCTCATACTTAGTTGATGGGTATGACATTGTAAGTAGTAACAATGCAACGTCGCAAACGACTTCGGGTGACTTGCCACGCTTCTTTATTCTTCTTCGCCACGCTCGTTTCGATGGCGTACGCCGCCGCGCCACAAAAGAAGTTAATTAAGAATGCCGCGCGCGCCGAGGACTCCCTCAACTGACGCGCGCAACTCTTTCGCTTCATTATCGTGGCAAGTGTCCTTAGAAATCGAAAGGCATCCGAATAAATCCGTACCACGTTGTGTCATGTATAACGAATCCGGCTGGCTATTGTTGCCTGTTTATAGATCGACTAATTGTCTGCTAGAAATTGACTTTTCTAGGAAATCATCCGAAAAAAACTATTCCAGCTGCTGTAAATTAGATGTCACACGGTAAAGGTAAACAAAGCTGTGCCGCGGCGCGCGGTCTTTACATCACAGAAGATGAAGCTGAAGGAAAAAAGGTGATAATAACAAGGAGGCATGTGGAAGGCAGTGTGTGTTGCGTTTTGTGCTGCATCATGGGAAGGTCCGGAGGCGATGGAAATCTGACCTAATCAAGGCGATGACGTTGGCAAAAATGCCAACGTTTTTATTTTACGCGCGCGCGCCGTTGTCATTGCGGAGAGCCGCCTGTCGTTCACACTGTCAAATTACTGAAATTAATAATATTGCGTCCCGGCACGGCTCCCCGATCATATCTACCTGACAGGCCAAGATTGGGACCGGTGGGAGACGTGTGCGCGAGGACACCTTGCGACTTCGTCTGAATGTGAGAAATTTTCTTTCTATAGCTGCATAAAAATCGAAAAATCATCGCCATATTTAGTATTATAACGGACACGCAGCGCACACATTACACTGAAAATCTAATTACCACACATCATGCAGTTTTGAAATATTTTTAAATTGGATGTGCAAAACTTACAACGTAAAGAATATGGGAAAAAATTCAAGCTCTCGAGTATTAAATTCAAATGCAATTATTTCGGCCTCCGCGAAGGGTTGCCAGCGCGAAAACTGAAAATATGACATTACCGACGAATATCTCAAATAACAGCGGCGAAAATCTCCCAATTAGGAGCGAGGTAACCCCGGGTAACCGGCGCCGAACGAGTAAATTACCGACCTCACCCCGTTTGCAACCCCTCTGACGCGCCACCGCCGTTTCAGAAATATGCGAACAGAGTAAACTCTATATGTGTGCAGTCAAACACGAAACAAGAGACATTACGATATGATCGATACTAATTTTATCAGCGGCCGTAAATATGCAAAGCGCTAAAACCCTTTTAAATAGTATGGGGGTTAGTTTAGCGGGGGTTAGTTAGAGTTGTTCACCATCAGATAAGTTAAATGTAATGATAACTGCAAACTACACGCTAATGACATGTTTTATTAGCTGTTAGCTAGTAAATTTATAATTATCTACATCGACACCTGAAATAACATCAACTGTTTCACATGATAACATGATAAAAGGGTTTTATGATAGTAATTATTCATTTTTTCTTTGTTATAATGCAGAAAAACGAAAAAAAAATTTTTTTTTCAATTTTTTTTTCTTATAAGCTTTTAGTAAGGTTTAAAGTGTCACTCGATTATGGTTTAGTACGGATCGCGGCGTATTTATTGCGCCGCACAAAGAAGAAACAAAGAAGGACGTAGGTGTAGCGTCGTGTAGCGCACCGCGAAGCTTGTTAAAGTCTTCACGCACTCGCCATATTTCATTTTAAATAACATTGTTTATATTTCATTACCACGACGCTGTGTCTCGGGGTTAACTTTATTTTATTCTACCTGCAAAAGTAAAGAAGATATCAGATACCGGTTAACCGGTTAATTAAATATATCACAAAACTTTTTATTTATTTTTTGCTGTTTTGGTTAAGGGTATTTTTGATGTTCATTTTTCAAACGGTTTATCACTCACTCCCCTTGTCTCATCTTCTTGCTGCTTCCGCCGGGAGGGTGACATTTCTATTGATTCCGTTTTCATAACTTTGCGCGTCTTTGTATAGCATCTATATACATATAAATTACGGGATGATATTTTTATTTTCTCCACTTTTCTCGGGGCGCGTCGTAAAGTGGGTTGTTTTCCCTGAGAGGGGCGAGTAAAAACGTTGAAATTTTGCGGCGGTGCAAGCGAGATACTAGACGCTGTCGACGCTCCCATTTATAAACATCTTGCGCTTGTCGGCATGCAAATCAGACAGGTCGTGGCGGTGCTGGCGCTGGATTTTGATTGATTTATTCGCAAGATTGATTATGGTGTGTCGTGCGACCCGCCACCGCTCTCTCAACGGATCACACACAGCCCCATTGTGACGATGCTGGTGCCCACTTTCTTCTTCTATATTTATTTCTAAAGTACTCTTTTGTGTAACGAAAAAAACTAACACTTCCCTTGGCATCGATATTGAGCATTGAACCCTAATTTTGTAAGAGCGCGTCATTAAAAGCGCTTTCGTGGCCGCGGTTGTTTGTCATTTGTCCGTGCGGTTAATTGATGCTCGCGTTGTCGGCTGATGCTCGTTAATAAATTGTAATGGCGGTGCATTCTTCGGCGTGCAATAATCCCGCGGTGCGCGGTGCGCTCGGCCGTGAAGCTGCACCGCACGACCAGAGATGCGTCGTGGTACAACTTCTTCGGGAAGTTACCTAACACTCATGTGCGTAGCGTTCGATTTCTCTATAGTATATTACATCTAATTAACCTTAGAATACTAAAACATAATATTTTATATATAATTTTCTGCTTTAAAACAGAAAATCGTAATTTTCTTTACGTGAATATGAAAATTTTTAATTTTTTTGTGTTTGGTAGTCTAGGGTTAAGTTTTTTGCACATGTACGCAATGTCACCGAAGGTACAGGCATAAAATGTATAAACTATAAACCAGTGGGGGCCCTGCCGACAAACGCGCAACCTTTTAACATTCGCTGACGCTCCGCACGTAACGACATCGTAAATATGCTCGCGCTGGGATTTTATGGTGTCGCGCTTCAGCGCCGCGTGCGATTTTTCCAATGCGAACATAATTTCATAATGACCCGTTTATTAAAATGCGCCGATCGCATGATGCTATCGATGAGATTGGTTGCGGATTTTCAGGCGCGCCCTGCTTTAACGAGCCACACGTTAATCAGGAATAGACCAGGACCAAGGAGTGCACGAAGTAGCATTAGCCCGCTTTTCGACTATTACTTCCGGCGACCGTCTCGATGATGTCATGCTTTCACGAGGATTGCCCCGCGCGGCCAGCCTATGTCAACGTGATTCATTGATTAGCGCATTAGCCATAGAACAAATAGACCAGGAGGAAGGACTATCAGGACATGATAAATATCCACACAGCGTTTTTCTGGTTTTGTGTTTGTTTGTGTACGAATTGCGTGATTCCAGGTGCTATTTTACACGCGGTGTGTAATGAACACTTTTACGAGCGTGTAGAAAATTTCCCCCCGCCGGCGTCAGGTCTAATGAAAAACGTGTTTTCACGCCACCGACGCCAAGGTGTCATCGTGAAATATTCAGGCGCGATTTTATATTTAATAAACCGGATGTGCAATCGTCGGCGCGTTCAAATTGCGCGCTCCCTGCTGGATGTCTGGGATGTTTCTTCATTCGAAGCGCGCGACTTTATGGAGTAATATCTTGCACACGTTGCGGCGCTGAAAATAAGAGAAAAACCGAGCTAATAATTTATATCTTGTCGCCGTGTTGCTTTGCATATTGTTTCGCCGCGCGCTGTGGATTGAGATGCGACACGACGAAATATTTCGCATTGTGCGTTTTACGAATGCAAAAAAAACCATTGCATTTTATGTGGCAAGTGTAGTTTCGAGTGCGCTGCGCGTACAATAACTTTATTTTTGCTCAAGCGATAAATATTCATTCTGAATGGGTTGTTTTCGCGCACGGTGCGCGTTACAAACGCTGTTTTCTTCTTCTCTTCTTTCTCTTACGAGTACACCGAGAGCGCTGTTCAGGCAGGTGTAATTATAGTTTGTTTATTGGAATATGTTAACCTATTTCGGTCGCGTACAAAATTTCCCAACGCATTAAATACTAACAAAATATTTTTGGTTAAAAATCTATTTTTTATAAACCATCGGCAACAATTGAGATTTGGTTAAGTGCACAATTTATCAATCGACATTTTGATATCACTGCATGCGTATTACTGCATATTAAATCCGCGCCGTAATCCTCAGTGCAGGTAAACAAACGGGGGCGGTAACCACCCCTGTTGAAACGCATTACCCACGCACGCAGTCTGAATTGGTGGCAGCGCCGGGCTTACACGTGTACTCACACTCTGATCATCCTGATGGTCGCTGCTCGATTATCGGCTCTGCGTAACCGAGTTACTACACAAATGTCCAATCATCCCCCAGAGCTACCCAGCCGCGCGCCACCCGTCGACAAACACCGATCTAGCATGTTTTTTCGGTGCGCTTTTTCTGTGCGCGATACGATTTATTAGCTGAAAATATTCGTCAAATTTGAAAAATTCTGTATCGATTGCAGAGCAGATTATAGATATAGACCTAAAAATAAAACAAGGTTTTAAGCTTGAATTGCTTTGTTTTTTGTCTGTTAATTAAGAAGTTTTCTTGCTTCTTGCATAGAGTAATAAAGTGTGTCTTGTTTTAATTTTCGTCTGGTCCATAATTTCACCCCCTTTACCAGCTAGCACTTAGAATACTCACTCTCCTGGCGTTATTTCTGCAACGCTTGATTTTAATATCACATTGAAAAGTCCAAACGTTTTCTTATCCAGGAACAGGGACAGGGGGATGCGCTGCATAAGGGGTTCGATATTTACTAGGCGATAAAAATTCACGCTTCTTAAAATCCATGTTGGAAATATTCAAATTGGTCCATTTTATTGCTCCCGCGGGAGCCATTGAGGTTGACGCCAATTTCGTCCGACACGCAACTGCAGCGCCCTCTGCGACTTGCTCCTTCGGGGACTTTTACTCTTTCTTACCTTCAATGTGTTGACAAAGGGTGAATAACGCAAAGGACTTAAATGATTATTTTCTATATTTGCAGGCGATACGCTGTACAGTCCCAAGTTGTAGCTGCGAATGTTTCATCCCCGGCAAGCGTCATCTCCGCTACTGCGAGACCTGCAAACATGGATGGGTCCCACATGGTAAGTGCTAATTTACCATAACATTAAATCATGTCTTCAGGACTAAATCGCTAAAGGGTAATATCCCCATGGTCAACATACGAATAAAATAAAATAATTTAAAACGCGCTTAATTAGATGCAGTAGTAAATGATGAATCGAATATAATTTTATCAACCGCGGCGATCGCGTGTAGGAGCCCCGAATGCAACTTATCGAATAATGAACTGTCATCGGTGAGTTATCGACGCGTCGGGTCGCGCCCAAGTCGATTTTTCGGTGGGGGCTCAGTCGGGTGCCATTTGCAGTCTAATATTGCCCTGCGGCAAAGGGGCACACCGTGTCTGTTTGACCATTTGACCAACCCTTCAAGTCTTGATACAAAAAAGAAAAAACGAAAAATATTCCGAGCCGTAAACAACAAGCGTGGCCAAGATGGTATTACACCCAAGGGAGTTATACATATTTATACGCATGACCAAAATATTCGGACTCCAATCTTCAATTTACATCCGGAAAAATGATACCTAGTTTTAAAAGATCCCTCAGCGAAATTGGATTTTTATTTTTAAGGTCGAAGGCGGCAGCACGTCAATAAAATTCGAACGCAATCTATTACCATCGCATAAAATGCATCAAAGCAGCGCGCCGCGCGGAGTTCATTTGGATAATTTAATAAAGAAAGCGCAGTTGCAGGCGAGTGCAACATTAGATTTTAATTCAATTTCGGCGTTTGAGCGTCGTGTATCACTTAATCTTGTCGTGTGTCGCACCCCTGCACCGCGAACAAATCGTCGGGGTTGTGAATTAATATATCAAAAATATTCTTTGTCTCCGAGCGCGATTACGTCATTACACGCGCCCCAGTAATGCAATTTGTTAAATTGAAAGAAGTAATCAGAAAAAAAGAAACAAACGGCTTTTTTAATTCGGATGTGAATTTAATACCTATATGCGTAAAGCGCTGTTTAAGCCGCTAAAGCTACAGCGGCAAACAGAAAAAATATTAATGCAATTTAATTTCGAAACCAGCATGGTGTTAAAAGATAAATTGTTTTTTTGTGTTCAACTACTGTATGCGGAGTAAGTAATCATAGGAATTTGCATAATTCAATCAACCTCAAACAATTACACGAAATTTCTCCATCGTGTTTACCTGAATGAAGCCGTTTAGTTTTAACTATGCATAAATAAATCAATATTATAGTCTTTAAACGAGTCTTGCTCGAGGATAATTTATTATGCAACACTTACTCAGCTGGCAGTTATATATCCACAGTAAAATATAATTAATTTTATTATTAATCAATTTGTTTCGCTGAGTGAAAAAAAAATGTTTTGAGAAAATTTTGTGTTGGAGAACAGAGAAACTTAATTTTAGCTCCCTGGGAGTATGGTTGTGCACACTCGCGCGTAATGATATAATTATAGGTGTCGCGGTGTTTATGGTAAGCGACATGTGTGTATATAGCGGGCGGCGGCGTAAACACGCCGGCGCCGACCGCCGCTTTTAACGACGCTGCGCGCGTGCTCCGCCACCATCCTTCGGTTTACATTATCGCGCGCTGTTTAGAGGAGCAGCCGTTGACAAAATGGAAATTTCCTTTCAACATGACGATATTTACGCGGCGGCCACCGCGCGGACGTTTTCATTAAAAACTCGGCGCGCTCCGAATTAGTGAAAATTATTGGCGGCCGCCGCGCAACGACGTATAACGTTATAACTAACAAACGACCGAAAATAATTTCGGTTTGTTTGTGTTTTTTGGACGCCTTTGGACGCGCGTGCGAGCGTATACATTACGGATTACACCATTCCCGACACCGACGACGTGAGGCATCCCAGACCGAGACGGTTTTTTTTCTTCTCTCTGCAAGCGTTTAAAATATTTTCACTCAAAAAACACACACGTTCAAGGTGTGTGTGTATAAAGTGGGTTTTTACACACTAGTGCGCAAAACATTAATTTTACACATTTATTAATTTAGATCTTGATAAATGACTTCTCGATCGCGATATTAAGTTACTGTCATATCGATAAATTAAGCTCGTTTATACTTTGCGCTACTTTCAGCTGCCCTATCCATATCAGTCACAGCTACTGTACTGTCACGTCTGTCTCCCTATTTTTCTCTGATATCACACCACACCCTCGCAATCACGTCTAGTAGACTAACATAATAAGATTTTGCGATTTCGCGTAAATCGTACGCATTCATTAATTAGATATTTACACCATTGGTATTTTTATGCTAAGCTAAGTTTTTGAAAGTTGATTAGAGGTTATTACGGCTACCTGCATGTTGGCTATTGTGTTGTGATCGTTTATTAAGCGTGTCTAATGAGTGAAAAGTAAGCGGAAAAAATCGCTCGACTGCGACGCTCCGCGACGCCTTGCAAAATCTGATTAGCGATGGACGCGATGCGCAATCGCTGCGACATGCAATCAGTGCGTCTAATTGGAAAGTTTCTTTTGCCGTTTTAATTTATGCGGGCTGTGTGTGCGCTTCTTGTACAACATCAGTAAATCTTTTTGTCTTGTTCTTCAATTTGCTACTTCCTTCGGGACTGGACTTCAGGTATCCGGGGACTGATTTATCACAAGTCAACTTCACTTTTCGCCTCGTCGATAACACATGCCGCTCTGTGTTTTGTTCGATCAAGATTTACCGAGAAGCAAAAAAATTCGAAAAAACCGAAAACCGGTATTTTTAAAAATAACCGTTTTTGTTACTCATTCTCGTTGTATTATTCATCGATAGTCTCGGATGGAATAAATTACAATATGATGCCTTATAAATCTATTTGTGAATGTATGGCGTTATCAAATTTTCAAATGACAACATAAATCATCGAGACGACCACCGCACACCGACCGAGTTTTGCATGGTCAAGCGCTATTCGGTACGTGACCGTTATATTCCCAACACGCCGCCCCTAGAAGAACAAGAGGCGCGCGGTGGCAGCGCCCAACCGCCCCCGCTGATGTGGTCCGTCTTTCATGTGAATTATTTAGCACATTGCCAAATGTCCGGACTATCAGAATACACTATTTATAACACAATAGCCTCTATGCCCGTCCATCTCTATATTCATTCCGAGCGTCTGCCGGGCAATTTCGTGGGGGCGAGCGTGCAGAATTTAAATGAGGTCCATCTACATATCAGCCGATATCTGGAATATCTTGAATCTTGTTTCGCGCTGGTGATAAAATCGTGTCTTGCTGTGACCGTAATTATTAAGTCACGGCGTAATTGTGACACGCTTTCAAACAAAACGGCGTGGCGCGGCGTATCATTTAATTACACGGTGGTTTGGATGTCGCGTGACGCTGTTGGGCGACCGGCGACGAGATGCATTATCAAAGGAAGTAATTCGTCATTAAGGGGCTTAATTGCCGGCTTGCGCGTTTTATTCGGCTTGTTATACTTCTCGCATGTTTAACGCTTGTTTCGCTTTGCAATCAAATGTTATACATGAAGTTGTTTTTTATTTTGATCGAGGGGAGGTTACACTAAATGCAAAAACATAGGGTTGATGATAATACATCACAATTATCTCCAACGGAAAGTTTTGTCTTAATTTTTGTTCGTTTTGTTTAATTTTTGAAACACTAAGATTTGTACGACATAGCATTAACGCATGTTAATTACTGAGCGAGTTGACGACGTCGAGAAGGCTCACATCACGGCGAAATGAAATTGTGTGTGCTTCGGCCGTAATTAAAAATCCATTAGCAGAGCACAATGTAGATTCAGATTTTTAATGGTGGCACGCATTAGTTTCGTTGATGGTTGATGGCCAGCACGATTCCACTCTGCCTCCGCATCAACATGGTGTCATTTACACCATGGCGCCTTCTCCGCAATCCTCGATGCTTGTGGGACAGTTCACGGTCTTTTATCGGTAATTTTCAGTAACGTACAGATACGTGGTGGTTGCGTGCGGGGCAACCGCATTGCACGTGACGCGTTTCTCTGCCGAAGCCGAAGCAATCAAAACCGGCGACCACCGTACCGAACTAAAAAACAAGCAGTTGGTAAATACAAAAAAAAAAGCGAACAACATGGAGTCACGTTTTGCTCGATTGCTCGCACACATTCACGGCGCGATCGCGATTAGTCGCGTCTTTGACCTCTACATGTCCCCACAGGGTCCCCCGGTTGAAAATTACATCTGCCCCCACTTTCGATGATGGATTATCACGCATTTGTAATCACTAATGTCTTATGACTGAACAAAAGAGCTGACGGTATTGGTTTATGTCTTACCGGGTCTAAATTTGTTTGCTTCCGAGTGCAAACAGAGGGTTCTGATACTCCTCAGGGGTTTTAAAGTTACTTTGGAGGATTTCTAGTGCTGTGCTAATATTAGTTTATACTTAGTGGTTTAAAAAACCTCACGGGAGCTCCGCCCATTGAGTGACATGCGCATGCGCAGTAACAGTATACCGTAATTAGAAGTATCAGTCTTAATTGTCGTCGTAAACGAGCTTTAATTATTCAACGTAAATGGATCCTTGGAGCTTCTGATGAAATTTAAGCAGATTCAAAGGATTAGGTAGCTACAAGCAGAGCGTTTTTGCATTTTCACGATGTCTTTTCTATCTATACCTACTTCCCAAGACGTATAAAAAAAGCGAACGGGGTAATGAATATTACGGGGCAAATTGTGCCATAAACGAAACATAAAAGAAGGGAGACGCGTTTCGCTTAATGGGCGCGCTTTGTGCACACACTAGATGCAGCGGGGAGAAGAGAGCAGAGAGCAATTTAGTAATTTTAATCACACTTTTTGTTGCGCGCTGTGTTGTGTTGGCATCTGTGTAGACACGCGCTTTTTTCGTCTTGGCCGGTGTGGATTGTACGCGCGCGCGCCTCATAAAAGTTGTTAATTATGATAAATATTCACGGCTTTTTCCTGGGAGAGTCATGAAGCGGAAGTCGGCATTGTTGTGCTCCGCACAACCCTTGCCTTTTAGCTTCGTGGCAACTTCCTGCTGCTCAGGGGAATATTGTAC